CCCAACGTGGCAATTGAGTCTAACTGAAAACCCAAGTTCGAAGTGTGTGTGTGAAAAATATTATGTTCATGTTTTTCGGACCGTGACTCTGCATGACTTTCTTTCAATGCTGACTAATCGGATAGGAACTGCCCAACCGGATCAAAGTTCTCACATAACAGTCAGCATGTGAAATGTCTGCCCACTTCGACGTTTTTCTGCGCTTCAGCTTGTCGTGTGGCAGCACATCGGAGCGCCTGGCATGGTCACAGCATGAACTGGCCAGGCTGGAAGACCGTCGCCTGCGCGGCCGAGCGCCACGCCGCGGTCGCTCGCTCGCCGCGGTGTTCGCCGAGGTGCTGAGTCAGAGAAGAAGCGCCTGGCACGGAGCAGTGTTCCCAAAATGCTCAGGTAGCATTTGATTGCAGCAGTGTTCCCAAAATGTGCAGCCTAAATGGATTTGGAATGCTTTTTCTGTTTCTCCCTCTCTCTCTCGCTCGCTCTAGCAAGGAGAACCACCATCCAGAAGCCATCGAGACAGGAAAACTCTGATCGATCATCATCTGCGTTATGCTTTCATCGAAAGAACTCTGTGACATTGTAGAGGTGAGCTTGCCACACTGGTGTTTTAAGTTGGCTCCACAAAGGGTCACATGTGTCACCTTGAGTTGCCTAGTGGGCGGCTGGCAAGACCAGTCACTTGTTTTCTGGCCCTCCTAACTCCTTTTTCGCTGCCCCCACCCGCCTCACCCACCCCTCCGGGAACCTGCCGCCCGCCTGGAGGTCGATTGCCATTGGGATGGAGGTAAGGTCTTCAGCATCAAGGCGACGCCGGGGCCTCGCCTCGCTGCACCGGTGGATGCGCCGGTGGATGCGGCGGATTCACCGCGCACCGGTCACCGTTCGGGCGCCCGGGCGGCGTGAGCTTGCCGGGGACCTGGTTCGTGAGTTTGCACAAGCAGTGCAAGGGCAGCAAATGCTGGCCCAGTGGCGAAGCAAAGGCATGCGGATGCAGCGAGGGTGTATTTCATGCCCTCAACTACTGGGACTCTGGGGCGGTTGTAGATCCCAAATCGTGGGGTCTAACTGCTGATCCCCTAGGGCTTTGGTTAAATCGCGCTAAGGTGTTAGACTCCCTTAGGGGAACTCCAGCACAGGTCTATGATCATACAACAAAAATTCAGCCCTACCATTCAAGACCTTGCCATGAATCTGGATATCCAGCCCTCAAACAAACCGTTGCTGTGATTCTGAAGTTGGGACTTCGTTTGGAACAAAGTTTGAATCAAACAAAAGCAGTAACCTGATATTCAACATTTGAGAAGAAAACAAAAGACTCGAACCGTGCTCTTCATGACATCCTCACTAAGCATATGTTTGAACGTGCGTCATTGTATTGCAAGACGTTTTTTGAGGCGGCAAACGGAAGCACGGCTCAAGACGTGACAGCAGCACCGAGTTTGGCAACGAAGGGGTGTTGTTCATCAGCTTCAGAAGCTGGAAGGCCCTGCATGTTGACGGCCGACCTCCCTTCCCTGCGACATCAGGTAAACAAAGCAGTTCTTAAGGCGAGTCTATGTTCGGGCCCCAGCAGAATAAAGGATGATTTCTGGTGTGGTGCTGGACATGGAGAAAGCATGAGAAAGCAAAGTAGACCACAGCTGCTCCTATCAGCAGCAACCACAGTCAACACTGAAACCCACACGGACATAAGCCTCAAGCTACAAATGGACAAAAACTTCAACCCATTTCAAACTCATGAGTCAGGGAGCTTTCACGAACCCCTTACCCCAAACTTCAATGTTGAACGCGACTTCTTTCAATTTGCATTAGGGATTGCTTTGTTTCGTCCATTCGGCCAAACGTTCTGGCAGGCTTGCTAACATTGGGTTTTGGGGTGGAAGGGGTCAAGGTGATTTGAAGGGATTGAATATGTTGTCCATCTACGGTAGTACCAAAAGCCATAATGAATCATAACGATAATGATTATACATGTATACACTTCCTATCACTTCCTGAAATAATCATGGAAGTGGAACATGGCCCCTTGAATCACCATGTTCCTCTCACAACAGTTTTCCACTTCCATGTTAGTGACTCGGAGTGTAGTCGTTCTTCGCCCGAGCCGGTCCCACGTCTTGCGCCACCCGATCTCCTCTTCCGACTCTGGAGCTCTACGTCACCCGCGTGCCAGGAGGGCAGCTGCCGGGTGACCTCCGGTGTGTGGCAGCTGGCGGGCGACCTCCGGATCCCCAACTTCCAACGGAACCGCCCAGGTAGAAGGGCGAGCATCAGCCACCCTCAGCGACCCCATGACCGTCCAATCCCAAGTTGGCTGATGCCCATCGCATGGTTGTTCTATGCGATCCCAACGTTGGCTCAACATTTCGCGAGTTCTGGGGAAGAGCTACAGCAATGGTTCTGACCAATTTGTTTCATCACATTCAACATTCATGGAAGTGGATGGCATGGCCTACTGAAAGACCATTGTCCATTGCAAACACGACGTGGCTTTCCACTTCCATGTGATGTGTTTGTGGGAGGGGATCCACCAAATGTCACCTACGCAAGAGCTCTTAAGACCATTGGAGTCCAGCTATGGATCTAATGCGTCTGATACGCATGGCGTTTCTTTCGCCCGCGGAGAAAGGAAGCCACCCAGTGTGATGCGGCGCCAGGAGCTGTATGATATGACTGCCTCCAAAAAAAGAACCGAACAAGTTGATTCCACCATTTCATCTATTTTCCAGAAAAAAAACATGTTGATTAACATAAAGTCAGCAGCAATAGGTACAACTTGTTCAACATGCCCTCGCTGACTAGGCAACTTTCACTCTGGAAATCCCTATGAGACACGAATCATTACACTAGCCTAGCCTTTGTTCCAGTTCCATCCTCTAAAACCATATCTATTTATGTAATATATTTATATATATATTATTACGTAGACGTGTCCTTCTTTTTTAAGTCGTTGTCCTTCTTGTCCTTTTCTTTCAGCAGATCTATGCATTTCTTCGGTGTCCCCATCTTACATGGACCCTCTGGACTGAAGCACGGTACTTGGGGCTTCGGTGGGGCCACCATGGCGCCATCTGTTGAGCACCGTTGTGGGGAACAAATCAACTTGCAGATTGGATCGTTTCA